GGGTGTCACGTTTTTGCCTGGCAAATTAAAATGTATGTTTTTTAAATGGAACACCTTGTATTTTATTTTATGATGAAATTATTAACACCCTAAATCAACCCTAAATTATTGTAAAGACGAATTGCTACAGAAAATTTTTATCAGGTATGTGTGTGGTTACCTTTTAATAAAAGCCTTGCGGATCCACTCCTGCGATACCTGTCTTAAATATAACAAAGATCACGTTGAAATAGATGATTTTTCTTTTTATTGCTTTTTAAAGGCATATGATAACGCCAATTCAGATACATTTGGAAATCTGCAACTGTCAAATGATGAATTTGTAGAACTAATATTCAATATTGAAAAGATATTTCAAAATAATTTTGAAGAATTGGCTACAAAAAATAACATTTGTACCACACTTTTAGAATTAATTAACCCAATACCCTTTAGTCATCCATGCTAACGTTTTCCAAAAGAATAACTTATTTTATTGTATGTTTAATCTCAATAACTAAAAAATATACTGACAATTAGTTTGACAGAATTGTCATTTATTTAAAATTTTAAAAATAATAGCAGTCGGTTGATCAAAATATGAACGGTGATTGGCGAATTTATTTTTTTGCAGTGTTCTCACTACCTAGAATGGATATGAAATATATTCGTTCAATTGAAGGCAATAGCATACTTTTTCGTTTTGTAATCTGTGCATGGATATTAGCCAATCTACGCACATACTACAAAACGAAAAAGTATGTTATTGTGTTCAACTACGAATATATTTCATATCCATTTTAGGTAGTAAGAACACTTTAACAAAATTAAATCTACAAATCACAGTTCATATTTTGGTCACCCAACTCCTATTATTTAAAATTTTTTAAATAAGTGACAATTCTGTTAAACTAATTGTCAATATATATTTTAGTTATTGATATTAAATATACATTAAAATTTTTGTGCAGACTCGATAAATAATAGCATTTTTGTTTCTATTGTGTCCACATTTAAAAAAAATAAATTTTAATTAAACTACATGATACTAATTTAATTACGAGTATTAAAACTAAAGTCCTGAAAGTTTCGGTGAAGATGAAGACAGAGCATCTGCCTTCCACGCGAAAAGTCCGGGATCGAATCTAGGCCGAGGACTAATTAATTTTTCATGTTTATTTTATTTTATAAATTAGTCAACTTCGTAAATTATTTTAAAATTAGTTATTTTGTCTAAATAACCTAAAATAATTTTTTAAATTTAAAGATTTTCGTTAGTGGGTCGTAGAAAAAATATACTGACCATATCGAGTAGATTGTTCATATCACAATCAGACGATTGAGTTTTCCGCCTACGACGTCGTGCTCAAACTTCGTCTTTGTGTGATATGGCTATCATATCCACTCTTGTTGAACAAACTACAATTTATTTGTTTTCTTGGTTTAAGTTTTACATCAGAAATAGGAATTAAATTAATTTACTTTTCAAGTTTTCTTGTAAAAATCGATATTACTTTCTCCAAGTACAAATTTAGTACCTACCTAAAATAAGTACTAATTATGTTATATCTTGTAATATTGTAATTCAAATTTCACATTACTATAAAGTTTTAAAATTTCCTACTTCGGTATGGTCAGATAAAAATTGAATATATTATATTAATAAAAACTGTCAAAGTATAACTTCTACAAATCTGTATTTCAAATAATAAGAATACATCTAAATATAACCAATATTGTTAAAACAAAAGCACACATTCTTTATAATTCCAAAATACCATAGAGTTCCCAGACCTCAGTCGAAGCATTCGTTTATCTAGGTATAAACCCTTTGCGCGAAGAGTAACACTTGCCAGAGACACGGGGGTACCACTTGATTTGCATCCACGAGCGTGACACAATTCTTTAACAATTGAAGCCCTTGGTGTAAAATGGATCCAAGCCACAATTTGTCGTGAAGTGACTGTTTTAGCTCAAAACATTTGTTAACGAGGATTTTACTAGCCATATATAAATTATTTTACCTCTAATCCGAAAGATGTGCTATTTTTCGTAATATTTATATTTAAATAATTTTTTTAATTATATTTGAAAGATTTAAAACAAATTAAAAATGTAATTTCTCAAAACTTACTTAATATGGCATGTGACCAACCTTATTACGCCAAGGTTTTCAATTTTTTCAATAATAAAAAAATTGTTTAATCCGGGCCCGACTTTTCCCTTGAATCTAACAGAGATAGCACCATTCCGTCTTGCTTGGTTCTCGACCGCCAGATCAAAGACGCCGACACGGAGTTGTGGAGCTGTATATTGTATAAGCTGTGGTATAGATTTAAACAGGGGTAGCCTCTATCTGTCAACATATTATCTAAGATTCAAATTATAATTTTTAGTATAGAGAAAGTAAAAGTTGAAAAGTCTTTTGGTAGGTAGAGAGGGGGTAAACGTCAAACCACGTCGGGCGGCTCCGAGAATTTCACAGTAATGTTTACCTGCCAGTGTCGTTTCATAGAATAAGTAATTTTAAATTGTTATCGGCGGAACCGGACAATCGCATGTAATTATGGATTATAAATAATTATTAAACATGTATTATAATATTTAAATCATAATTTTACAAAATTTCAACAGCTATTCACAATTTATTAAACTATTTACTCGAAATTGTTATTAAGATCAATAAAATAATTTTTTACGCCAATGTATCGCGTCCACTTCGGTAAGTTCCGCTGCCAACCTGTCAATTTATGTGTATAAATGCTGCGTTTGAGAATCCACATCGGATGCATTTTTTACATCTCGAGCGTTTTTTTATCCACATCGGACACATCTGTCCCATTACATTTACGTATACTGAATCACGTGATCAAAGATTTTTTACATCTCAGATGCATCCGATGTGGATTCTCAAACGCAGCAAAAGTGGGAGAAATGGCAAAAGCATTTCCAACTTTTACTTCTGTTCTAGTAGGCAGTATTTCTAATTTAAATTTTAAATGATTTTCACATAATTTATTTTATAAAATAATGTATGGAACTAGTAAGCTGGAAACTTTTATTTTACAAAATAATTTATGTGAAAATCATTTAAAATTTCATTTAGAAATACTACCTACTACTAAAAATTATAATTTGAATTTACCGCCATCTGTCAATTGCCATTTTTCTGTATTCTGTAGGTGAGTTCGGGCTGCGCACTCCAGAGTAGAGTGTAGTAATTAGGCGTAAACGGAGTGCGAATATGATTTTACTCCTTTAACTCTCGGAGTGCAATGTCAATTGTTAATGTGACATACCAGTACTTAAAATTTAATCGTACTTGTCAGTAACAACCGTATAAGTTTCTTCCATAATAGAGTTTTAGCAAATGTACGTAAGATTTCCGCTAACGTTACGTTAAACTTAGATTGTGACCTTTTTCATAAAGATTGAACGGAGTAGATTACAGTCTATCCCTAAGGTAACGTTAGTGGATGGTTAGCGGCTGTTTGCTAAAACTCCCTATTACGGCCATATGCACCATTCTTCTGTTAATAGTTATCAGAGAGTTAACTACATAACCGACTGTTAAATTGACAATTTTGTATTCACCATTACAAAATATGACTACCAATCTGTTAAATGCGTTGTTAATGTAACAAACCAAATTTGGCCTGTTAATTTTACTTACCAGACTGTTTTATTTTTTCTTGTTTGTTTTGAAGGGTTAGATAAGGTTTTATTAAATAATAGGTATGGAGAGGTTAAATTTTGATTTAATATCATCATCATCATCATCGGAGAGTGATGTTGAAATTCCACGAGTTCGAATGGTGAGGCCAAGAAATAATTTAATTGAAGAGCTTGATGAAAAAGACTTTAAAATGAGATTTCGTTTAAATAAACAAACAGTTCGGGTACTGGCAGATTTATTGGAAGATATTGAAGAACCCACCAATAATAGAAACCAACCAGTATCAAAAATAAATAAAATTTTAATAGCCCTCAGATTTTATGCCACTGGGACATTTGAAATCAACATAGGTGATTTGTTTTTTGTTTCACAATCTACAGTCTCAAGAATTATTTATGAAGTGACAAGAAGCATAGCAGCACTTCGTCCCCGTTTTATTAAAATGCCAGAAACAGATGAAGAAAAAAGTCAGGAAGTTTCATCATTTTACCGTGTGGCTAGGTTACCTGGTGTTATAGGAGCACTAGACTGTACCCATGTAAAAATTTTATCTCCAGGAGGAAATAATGCAGAGGTGTACCGTAATCGAAAGGGCTGGTTTAGCATTAATACCCAAGTTGTTGGTAATGCAAATCTACAAATTATTGATATAGTGGCTCGTTGGCCTGGCTCAGTCCATGACACAACCATTTTTAATGACTCTCTGATAAGAGTCAGGTTTGAAAATAATGAGTTCTACCCATATATTCTCATTGGAGATGGTGGATATCCTTGTAGGGTATATTTATTAACACCACTAATAGATCCTCAAACTCAACCTCAGCAAAGCTATAATACTGCACAAATTCGATCAAGAAATACGATTGAACGTTTATTTGGAGTATGGAAACGAAGATTTCCATGCTTGTCATTAGGGATGAGAATAAAAGTGGAACGTGCATGTGAAGTTATAGTAGCAACTGCAGTTTTACATAATCTTTGTAGGCAAGAAAATGATATAATAGACGATTTGCCAGAAGTAGATGCAGACATTGCTAATATAGGGATAGTGCATTATGGCCCTCCTCTACGACGAGATGAAAATACAGCTACTAGAGACTCCTTAATAAACACTATTTTCCAATAAATAAAAAAAATTCAATTAAAATGTACCTGTCTTATTTTCTTATTAAAAAACATTTATTTTCTTTACTCAAGTTTTAATTTAAACTGAACAAAAATATTTTTATTTGAACACAATTAAAATAATCAAACAATAACAAACCAGCATTCTCTGTACATATTTTAAATATATAATATATAATAAATATATAAAAAAAAAACATTTATTCTAATAAAAAATATCGCAGTGAAAATACAAAACAAACTTATAAACTAAAGGAACACAATACAAAAAATATCACTTTTTGTGAGATCAAAACTATAAAAACAAAATAAAAAAACTAATAAAAATAACACAGAGAGACAGATAAAATCTAAAACTAAGGTTAAATCACTGATTTAATAAGAGTTTCTCATACTCTGTTTGTTTAATTTTTAATTCGATAATGTTTCTTTCTTTGACAATTTCTTTAATTTCATTATCCAACTTTTTCCCTTTCATTGTTTCTATCTCACTTTCCTTAACTAGGTTTAAAATGTCCATTTTTTTCTTTAATACTTCACACTTTTTGTTTAATAAAACTGAAGCATGAGATCTTCGAGTCTGATTTGTAGCAGGCGATCTCAGAGTCTGATTTGTAGCAGGAGATCTCCGAATCTGGTTTATACCAGGTGCTTTAATAATATTTGAAACCAATTTTTGTTTTTTTTTTGGAGGTTCCACAGTTTCATGAGCATCGTTATTAATACTATTCATATTATTTTCGTCCACATTTTGCAGAGGCGAATCAGCCCTAATAGAAACTGGGAACGTATCTATTGAACAAGAGTCTTCTCCAGTACCTTCATCTACAATAAAAATAATATTTTCCTCTTCTTTATTATAGTTGCTGGGTCCAGGTTCTATAACGGTCGAGTTACTATCAAACCTATTCTCTATGGAAAAATAATTTTCCTCCAATAACCCTAAAATTTTACTATCAAGGTAGGTAGTGTTTTCAGTAAATTTTCCACCTCCTGTTTTGTGTAGTTCGACCTAAAACATTTAAAGTTCTCTTAACTATTATAGTAATATTATTACATAGGGGTTGATAAAGGAAAAGTAAATTTCTATCTATGAACATAATTTACTAATAATTTTAAAGATACCTTGTCCTGGGCTTTGTGTTGCTTTGCATTTTTTTTCATTTGCTCATATGTACTCCTCAATTGCAGGCCGGTTCGTAAACCACTGGTTTGATTGGCGTTGAAATCCCACGCCAATTTCTCCCAGCATTCATTTTTTTGTTTATTATAAACTGCATTAGTTTTTTTATTTTCGATAATGTGCAAGTTTTTTTGTACCAAGGAAATTAAAAATTCCTTTTCCCTCTCAGTTACATTGGCACTTCTTTTTCCTTTCTCCATTTTTTAAACTAGAAACTTACTTAAAAATACTTAGAAACGAATGACAATATAAAAAAATTAAAAAATCCCTAACCTAATAAACATAAATCGCAACATACCTAAAGTTAGGTACGAATGGCAGCCAACTTAAAAATACAGTAATATTTACGTATCAGTCTGATTTCTAACTGAAGACGGTAAACAGATGGTGCATAGCAAATTCTGTTAACACACTGTTATTTTTTATACTACTGTTAACTAACAGAGGATTTAACTGGACAATGGTGCATACGGCGGTTAATGATATTCACGGGAACCAAAAAAAAAATTTATTTACTAAAGAATCACTCACAATTAACTTATTATCAATTTAAATCACCTTATGCGCATGCCCGATCCACACTCCACTCCACCATCTCCGAACGGTCAAAGAGGAACTTTTATTTTAACTCCTTCCGTACCCGAACGCCTTAGGTACTTTAGGAGTGAATAGGCGAGTTCGGTCAGTCAGGGGCTGGAGCGGGACAAATTTTAGGGTGCTTTTAAATGACATTTAAGCGTGTTAAACTGTCACTAATCGGACTAAACCGAACGCTAAAAGAGTCGTTAGGAGTTAAAAGTGTTAAAGGAGTTAAAGGAACGTGGCAAACCGAACGCTATGGATATAGTGAAAAGAGTGCGTAGACCGAACTCACCATATGAGTTGCTTACGTTCGTACCACGGATTCCGAATCATCGCGAACAAGATCTACGGATTCGAAAAGTTCAACGTTCGTTTGTTATTTTCAAATCATGTTCAATAGAATCATGATCCGAAATTTGCGAAATCCCCTTACCCCTTTGAATCGATCTATTTAGGTTCTTTCGTTCGTCCCACTGGTGTAGGAATGAGCTACACCAACGTACACTAAACCTTTCGTTCGGCCCGGTGTAAAATCCACTAAACCTTCCTGTCGGCGATGTGGTGTCCACTGGTGGATATTTTCTCCACCAGCTATTTAGCAGGAGTGAATTACACCCGAAATGTGTATAAGGAATAAGGAGGGAAGTAAACTAAGGTAAATAAGGTGGTGTAACTGGTGTAATTTACACTGGTGGACACTACACCAATAGCGAACGAAAGAACCTTTTGTTTGATTCTTGCATTAGAATATTTTGATCCTAACCTAAAAGTGATTGTTTTGACTATTTTGTTTTTGTTCTTTTGTTACAAAGTCAAGAAATTTTAAGAAATTATTAGTCCTTGTTACCTCTGGGCATCTGAAACTTTAAATTATTTCATGAAATGTCTTACCAAATAATTAGAGATCGGAATGGATGGATAATTAACGAAGAGGGCGAGGTGTTAATAAGGGATATAGGTAATGTAGTAGGTACTTAATGAGAAATTAAACAAGCCTAGGTTTATTTTTTTACAGAAAACCAAGCAGACATATGGGTACAAAATAATTTAATATCATTTGATGAACATGAAAGGCCCCGTTTAAAAGTTTTTAATGAAACTAGTTCACAAACGTCAGAAGAAACACTAAGCTTTTACCATATAGATAGAGATAATGAAAGTGTTGATGAAACAGGGGAAAATGGTCTACAGTCCAAAATAACTGTAAATGATTGCTCACTAACTCCAGGTACCTCTGAAAATGACTCAATTTGGAGTGAAAATGAGACTAGGAGGTTGATTACATTATATGCCGAACATCAAGATGACATAAAACATGCAGAGAAAAAGAAATTTGTATGGGACATCATCTCTGAAAGAATGGTGGAAAAACAATTTCAGAAAACGGCAGCAAAGTGTCAAAGAAAATGGATAAATCTTTGCAGAGTATATAGGTCTATAAAAGATCAAAAAAAATCAAATCAGTCAGGACGTGGTAGAAAAACTCCTTTTATATTTTATGATGCCTTGGATGAAATACTGGGTGAGCTTCCGTCAAATAGCCAAAATTATAATGTAGATGTTGCAGCATTATCATCTGAAACAGAATTGGAAATTGTGAACGATGAAACCACAGAAAGCAATCATTCAACAGATATAACAAATGATTTAATCACAGAAAATCAAAATGTACAACCAACAAATCCAGCAATTAACAAAAAACGCAAAAATTACACGCAAGAATATTTCAAATCAAAAATTAATTATCATAAAATGAAAGAAATAGAACGAGAGCAGAGAAACACTAGGCACAAAGAGAAGATGGAGTTAGAAAACAAAAAACTAGAAATTGAACAAAAAAAAGTTAATATTTTACAAGAACTGTTAGTATATACAAAAAGAAATGATAAAAACTGATAGCTACCTATTTTTAGTTAAAAAATATTGTTTACTTCTTGACCAAGAAAATTGGTTTTATTTTTGAAGTTTCTGATATATAAAAATATGTTCCACTAAGCTTTTAAGTTAAAAAATATTTAACTTCTTAGTAATGACTAAACATTTTTTTTCATTTTCTATTTTTGAAGTTTGTTTTTTTGTGATATTATGTTTTAAGTTAATCAAAAATTTGTTTTTATTTTCTTTTTTTTTAAGTTTGTTTTTGTTTATTTCAATTAAATTATTTATTTCAAAACTTTTGAAAACAAAACAAAATGTGTTGAAAAATTATAGGCCCAGTTCCTACCTATTTTTAAGTTAATGACCAAAAATTTGTTTTTATTTTCTATTTTTTAAGTTTGTTTTTGTTTTGTACATAACTGTTATTTAACTTGTGTTTATTTCAAATAAATTATTTATTTGAAAACTTTTGAAAATAAAACAAAATGTGGTAGAAAGTTTTAATAAATTTGATAAATACATATATTAATCATTTATATTTTCAATGCTGCCCACCTCATCCACCTCCACCATGAAATCGTTACCCTCATCATTACATTGCATTGTGATATTATGCAGAATACAAGATGAAATAATTAGGTTGACTATTAAAGTCAAATCTTCATTTTGCAAATGATTTAATCTCCTAAATCTGCCTTTAAGAAGCCCAAACGCATGTTCAACTCCTACCCTAATAGATGAATGTAGTTTGTTGTATTCCCTATCTTCATCAGTCAACAAACCATTATCTTTTCTAGGTGTCATTAACCAACTCTTAGCAGGATATGCAGAATCACCCAAGAGTCTGTATTTGTTATAAAATAATTTGTCTGCATTTTGGTTTAAATATGAATTTCTTAAATGCCTACCATCGTGAGTTGATCCAGATGCTCCTGCCATTGCATCTATAAAAATCTTTTTATGGTTAACAACACCCTGGAGAAGTATACTCGGATATCCTTTTCGGTTTATAAAATCATCTCCATGTTCACGAGGTTTATTAATTCGGATGTGGCATCCATCAATAAAACCCAATACATTCGAAATTTTATTATTGTAAACAGATGCAGTAGCTTCAGCTTCTTCTTCTGTTGGCCATTTTATCCAATGATTTGCATTTGAACTCAATACTTGTGAAAATTTATATATAAAATCGTGAGCACTACTTTTTGCCACATTGAATCGATCGGCAAGCTGTCGATAGGTTTCATTATTGGCTAAATACCAAACAAACATCAGCACCCCTTTCTCTCTACTGATTTCGGGCCATCCACCTCTGTAATTTTTTTTTACAAATATATCATAGATATCTACAAAAAAATACAATCAGTTAAACTATTAATATAATTTCAAGACACTCTTTACCATATATTTTATCTATTGCTTCCCTTTTTAAACGGAAGTGTTCTCGAAATTCATCATTTGAATATTTAGGAACAATTTCCTCAACATATTCAGAAATTTTAATGCGTTTCTGAGGAAGATTTATATGTTCGTCACTGCTTTCTGAAGAGGTGCTGCTGTCAGACTCATCAGAACTTGAATTATTATTAGACTCGATTGTGTCTACTAACATTTTCTAAAAAAAATAATTACTTTACTATTATTTTATTTTAACTATTAATATCAAAAATACTTACAATCAGATTTGGATCCATTTTTTCAGTTAATTTGTTTAAATCGTTAAAAAAAGTATTCTTTCTCAAATATTTTCAAGTTTAAAAAATAACATCTTCAAAACCATACAATAACAAACTAACCTAACCTAAGAATCTCACTCGATTGACGGATTCCTATAAACTTGGAACCGAACCGTTCGTTTGTCTGATCATGATTTCGGTCACAGGATCGTCTGATTTACAATCTATGTTTCTATATCAAGAAACCGGATTCGGAATCCGTGGTACGAACGTAAGCAACTATGGTGGTCTGTGATGGATTATGAATCTAATCCATGTTTTCCTATTTTGTTTTTAAATTTTGGTCGACGTAAATAAAAATTAACTTTTCGTAGTTTTTGTATTGAATGTGCATGTTTACAGCTATAAGTGACTTATTTTTACTTAAGAAAATTACTAGACTGGCATTTTTAATAAGAAACAAAAAATTAGATGTAAAAATGAAGTGATTGTTTTCTTTTCACGTGCATAACCTAAAAATGATGGAATCGAAATATAACATAGGAAACACCAAAAACGGTGTCCAAAAGTTCCAAATGAAAATGAAACCAATACCGGTAATCTTCAACAATTCCAATGGACCATCCAGTCCCAAAAAAATTAAATTAAATGATGAAAACCGCAACCCCTCAAACGGCCAGATAAATAATAAGCCAAAAATAAGTATCCAAGATCAAAGAAGAAACTTACCGGTTTTCGATAAACGAAATAAGCTCCTAGACCTTATTAAAAGACATAAAACTTTAATAATATTAGCAGAAACTGGTAGTGGTAAAACTACACAGATTCCTCAATATATATTTTCAGCGAGATTGCAAGAAAATGGTAAAATTGGAATTACGCAGCCTAGAAGAGTAGCTGCAGTTAGTGTAGCTACAAGGGTGGCTCAAGAGTATGGTCATGGGGTAAGTAACTAAATGATCTCCAAAAAATAAATTGTTCTAAACCATAAATGAATTAAAAATTCCGTATCAGGCAATCATGGTTCCCTTGCATCATGATATGTGTTAGTCTCAAGCACCAAGAAGAGTTTAAAAAGATTAGAATAAAATAAAGACAATTATTAATAGCATTGTTTAAAGAGGGATAGTTAGTGCATATATAAATTCTGTTTGACTACCTCCCGCACCCTCCAGGCATAAGGAGGTGGTGCCCTACTGGTTGAGAGAAGCCGAAACTGTTAATTATTCTGTTTAAAAGTAGAAATCTATCTTTATACAATAACGCTAATCAAAATATTCTGAGAGTACGCTTTAGTTGCCATGTTGGAAAGGGTACGAGGTAAGAAAATAAGTTTCTACGACTTGTTACAAGGGGTAGTGAAAATGTTAAATCAAAATAATAGTCTATTGATATTTTGCAATGTTTTTTATTTATACGATTTTTAAGATAAAAACGCATAAATTACTTACTATAGTATCCATAAATAACAAAAATAATTTCATACAAAGAGGCAATAACACCTAACATCATACGATGTAAAAAACAAGAAAAAAAGCAATAAAGGTTTATCAGCTAAATTAAAGATACTACAGAGAACTGAATTTTGAGAACAATTTGTGTTTTTAACTGGTTTATTAAAAAGTTGGTTCACTCTTAAAGTTGAAAAAAAAAACCAGCACAAGCGAACTATTAGTCAATCCAATGTCCTCTCAGAATGGACAAAAATGGCTAATGTTTGGTGAAAACAATAAAGTTTGTTGACCTGACTTCATTAGTATTTGTTGGTTATTGTAAATCATACAAATAGTATTCATTTCTTTTTTAATAAATAATAAACTATGCAATTTTTCCACTAAACACACCACAAAAAGTCTAAACGCCCCAAAAAAATAATACAAACTAATTGCAATGAAACAGTAGGTCTGTTCTAACAATGATCAGAAACCAGTCATTGACACCAGGATTATGCCCAGTATGAATTTGCCGGTCTAAATATTCTACTGTGCTGAATCCTGGTGTCAATGACTGGTTTAGGATCGCTGTTGGAACAGACTTAGTTTATATGAGCTTTTTTTGTCAATGACGTATCTGTCAAAACTTTCAAATACTTTAGAAGTTAGTTTTGGTAATATTATAGTAAAATTAACATAGATTTTTAGGCCATTTATCGTTAATTAGTGATTTGAAATTCATAAAAATAATATTAAACTTTTTGATAGCAGGAAATGGAATATCAGTTGTCAGGTATATCTTTTATTTGGGTATGATATAAAGACAGTTTTATAATCTATTTGTGTTTTTAGTGTTGCTTATATTTTTCTAATTTTGTGACAAATTTTTACAATATTTATAAATTTGTACTTTAATTAATAAATTTAGGATATAGAGTATGTGTTTCTTACAATTTTGGCTACACTCGAACCATTTTGGCAAGAGAACCATTAACTTTTTTTTAATAATTTCACCTATATTGCTCAACACTTTCTGATTAACAAATTTTTCAATATTAACTGAAACAAGATATGCACATATATTTGTAAATTTTTTCATTATTTAGTGGAAGTTTTCAACCCATTTAATTGAGATAAATTATAGTTTTTTATAAAAAATAAGAAGTTCATCCTTCTGGGTAATATCTTTAGAACCTTCTAATTTTACAAAATTGGCATTTAAATTTGTTTAAAACTTTTTTTACCAAGTACCCAGAAAAATAAACGCTAGAACAACTTTCCAAAAAAAATGATTTTTCTGATAGAGGGGAAATTAAATCAAATTTTAAAGAAGTTTCCGCGTTTCTTTCCTCCTCATTATCATAGTTTTCTTTATCTTCCTCTCCTTCTACATTCATATTTTGCAAAATATCATTTGACGTAGAAGAACTCTCCAAAATGTTTTCATTATTTTCCGGTTTTGAACCAGCATTTGTGGAAACTGGGGGCTGCATAAAATTATTACCAATATATAGTTTAAATGATGGTTTAAAGATCCATGTTGTTGGATTTCTATCGTAACAGCCTTTTTGTCTGTATACTGAAAACTGATTTTCTAGTAGGTCTTGAATAAGGCGACCAGTAAAAATATACCTGTATCCTTCTTGTTTTACTTATATCTAAAATTGCTTGACAGCATTTATTGTTAATAAAAATCCATCAAAACTGTTAGGTCGGGTTAATTTTCCCCTTGGAATTTTGTTTGTACAGATTTTATATTAGATCATAACCTAAATTTAGAGCTGTGACAACCTCTAAATACTTATCACTAGAGGGCGGAATATATGCATCAAAATATAACAAAATATGCACATAAATATGCATCGTTTTTACCAAAAATATGCAGTTATTTTGTCCAATTATGCCTAAACATGCAAATGCATATTTGTTAAAAATACTTAAAAAAAAGTAGGGGGTGGGTAGCTCAGTGGTTAGTGCGTTGGCCTGTGGACTTAGGGGTCCCGGGTTCAAATTCCAGCCGGGACGCGATTTTTTAAATTAATTAATTTATTTAAAAATTAATTCTGATGCCTAGCGAATATTTCCACTTGACCATTCACTGTTGGGTTCTAATTAACATTGCTGTTCCTAATTTGGTACGCTATCAAAGCCATTACACGAAAAAAAAAAACAAAAGAAAATATGTAATATAAAAATTTATTTAAAACAAACGAAACAAAAAAACTAGTAGAAGTTAAGTATAGAATAATATAGAAATATTAAATAGTAATATTATAATAGGAATTTATAATTAAATATTTTTCGAAATTTTCTATTAAAAATTTTTGTCTTCTGTCTGTAAAAATATGTTTTGATATAGAAAAGGTCCTTTCAACATCTACCGAAGTAATAGGACAATACCGTAATTTTGGAAGTAATGTACAGGGCCAACGTAAAACTTCTTTGGAAAATTTTCCCTTCCCTTATTTCATTGAACCCTTCATTCTTTAATAAAGTTGTATTTATTTTTTTTCTAATCTTAAGGCCTATGTCACCAGGAACATTGTTACATTTATCGGAAACTGTTGCAATAAAATTTGTTGATTCGATTAAACTTACATTTTTCTTTTCCAATGAAGTTATTACATCAGGTAAAAAACTAAAATTAACCTTTATAAACACAAGTTGCTTAGGCACAAGGGGATTTTTTGACAATTCTTTACTTTGCACTACACATTGTGAATTGTCTTCTATATCCAAAATTAAATCCTTAATTGCTTCAAAATTTTCTGCATAGAATATAGCTGCTTTAATCCATGTCCCCCATCGCGTAATTACGGGTTCCGGGGGCAAACACACCCCTACCATTCTCTCTTTATACAACTGCACTCTTAAAGGGGCTTTTAAAAATATTTTTTTCACATTCGAAATTAGCTTGTTAACCAAGGGATATTCTGTTCTCACAGTTTCTGCAACTAAGTTTATTCCATGCAGAAGACAAGTAACGTGGACCATATTTGGATAAAATATTTTTAAGTTTTACCCTACTTTTATCATATATGGTGCTGCGTCAGAGAAAAACACTAAGAACTTCTTTGAGGGAATTTGATTTGGTAAAAAAAATTCTGCTAGAGATTGTTGAATAAATCGGGTAACAGTTGTATTGTTAGTTTCTTCTGTTTTGATGCAATTAAATATGATGTACCTGGTTCATTTTCTTTTAAGGCTCCAATCATAAGATGTACCATATATCTTCCACAAGCATCTGTGCTTTCATCAACAATGATGTTAAAATTGCTATCATCCAGTAATACTTTAATTTCTTCTATTAGATTTATATATATAGCATGTACATTTTTTTTCTGAGTGTAGATTCGTCAGGAATGGTTTGATTGCAATATTGTTGTAAAAATTCTCTTAGATGTAGGTTTTGTAACTTCTTTAATGGAATATTTGCTGCAACAAGAGCTTTGCACAAGTCCTGATTAAATACCTCCTTGTCACTTTTTGTTTTGTCGGCGTTTTGAAATGACCTCACAACGCATTGTTGAACTGGTTGTGATTTAATTTTTTGCAATTTGGCTTTATGCAATGATGTTTTCACGTGTTGAACCACTTTGAACTTTTTTTCGCAAACCACTATTTTGGCACAAGCTTTACAAAAAACTTTATCCCCATTGATTTCCAACTCTGGAAAGTTAATAATCCACGAAGAAATTCTCGACATTTTAGGACACTTTTAAAACATCAAATTATTACAAGACTTTTCACTAGACAAATAACGAGGATACTATCTCATTAAACTGAATGAAAAACATTCAAAATATTCTGATGTTAGGGTAGATTGGTTACAAGAAATTACTGAGAATTTTATATAAACCGTTTTATTGCATTGTAGGTAATACTTTATCTGTGTAAATACCATCTATTAACAATTACCTTAATGAGCTTAATCTCTTAAGAAGGTAAAAACCCAGTGCATGCCACCCTCCAAGATCTAATTAACAAGAATTTACAAGAAGTGACACTTAAAAACAAATACAAAAATATAAAAGGTCTTTATTTCAAATATATCTGTATAATCTGTTAAAACAGTTTTTGATTTGCACAGTATAGTAATACATTTTTTTTTCGAAAATATGCAATATTTTCTTAAATTTTCTGAACTTTGGTAAAATATGCAATATTTTCTGAATTTTGGAAAAATATGCAATATTTTCTGAACTTTGGTAAAATATGCAAAAATGCATATATATGCATTTTGCATATATTCTGCTATCTACTTATCACTGTTGTAGGGATTTAATTCTCGGACACGTTTACTATTAAATTTTATAAATTCACATTATTTAATAAATTCACCTAACATAGGACATTTACCTCCATTTCAAATTTCAGTAATATAATAATTTCCTAATAAAATACTTTTATTCTCAAGCAAATTAATGTAAATAATTTTTTAGTCTTTATAAGACATTTCCTTTCATGTTAAACAATAATAAAATCTGTTCATTTTGCTGATTTAACAATCT